CCACAATAAAATTCTCCCTCAATAAAATTATTACAAAATGTTTGATAAAAGTTCCTACCTGTAATATTAGGAAAAACGAATACTATGGAAGTCAATGGCTACAGGTTTCCAGCAGATTCAAAATATATTTTTTATGTTCAAAAGAAGAAAGAAAGTCAAACTGGTTTGAAACAAGTGAAGGTTGAGTATAGATGAAGACAATTTTCAGTTTTGGGCGAACTATCTATTTAAAGAAGTAGTGGAACATATTCTGTAATTGCTTTTTTGACATTTAAAAAATAGATTAAATTAACAACTGTCTACAAAAAAAACTAAAGATTATTATTTTTTTAATTAAAAATAATAAATATCTGTCTTATGTTGTGTGAGCTAAATCTAAATCAAGTAATATATATAAACTATTAATGGTGATAATGTTTTGAACCAAAAATCTGATATTGCAATTTTTTTTTGCGCTAAATATTCCGATGTGAATACAATTTGATTTGAATTGATTTGTTTTGATTTGCTTTGATTTGATTTAATTTGATTTATTTTCAAACAAAAATATCATACATGAAATATCTTTAACAAAAAATACTTTTCAATATGGTTGAAACTGGAGCGAGATGAAGCACAAGCTTATTATTGTCTCTGCTTTTTACATAAGACAAATTTTATCCTTTTGGCATCTTTGATATAATATATGTTTGATTCCATTTGTACATTTACATGTTGCATAACACAAAAATAGACCCAAAAATGCATGTTAACTGAAATTTCATCAATTTTACCTTTCTCATTTTATCTTTTTTCAATCACCTTTATCATTATATTCCTTTAATAATATATATTTATACAGGAATGCTTCACAAGAACGTTTGAGTGGCACTATTTGACGGTTTTCTGATGAGTCTTAATTCAGGTACAGAAATTGAAAGATCAAAATGCACAAATTGAGAAAACATTTATTTTTACATAAATTGTATATAAATCCCATATGAAAACAGTATTTGGCTTCTGGTCAACTATAATACAGACTCAACATTGCATACAGTATCTTGCGATGTGACTATTTCGGATGCGCACAATGCGATATCGATGCTGCAACGATATATAGTGCAGCCAAACTCTCAGCCCTAGTAAAAGGTGTTTTCAAATCCATGTGGATTATTGTAGATGCAGCCTGATAGATTTTTAAGGCAGAGATGTCCTCAAGCTGATCCATGGTCATTTTCATAGATTTTTTTCTAGCGCAAATAGTAAGTGAATGAATTGGAGTTTGCGCTAAATTGTTAATTGATGGCAGATTGCAACCCGAGCGGTTTTCTCAGTGACACTTCCTACATGCTGTGTTCTCAGTCTCTGTCTTCTCAAAGGGTTGCCCAGACTCCAGCTCTCTTAAGAGAAAGCATGCAGCCCGAATGGCTGCCAAGCAAAAGGGGCTGCATGATGGGAAGCATCAAGTAGCTCAATTAGAGATAAATCATCCCTCCAAAGAGGAAGTCTGGGATGGCCTGACTTCCACTGGCAAAGGCCTGAACACTATATCAGGGTTACCCTTAGACTATAAAGCCATTAAAGTGTATTTTGTAGGCAACATAAACAATGCAAAGCCACACAATATCACAGCCTTTATTTAGCACTTCAGTCCACGGATAGAGGCGAGACAAATCTTGTACTAAACAGAACTAAGCTGTTTTTGTTTTCTTTACTGGAAAAGAGAGATGTAACTTTTACAGGCTAATTATTCATGTCATCATGTGTTGTTATGTTTCAATGTATTTTAATTATGAGAGGAATTTTGTTGTAAAAATAGTAAAAAAAAAGTGAAATGTTGCCAATATGTTTGTATGAAAATGTTCTTTTTTTTATATTGTTGAGCATGTACACTCAAAAAACGATTACTGCTGCTTGTTCAAACTACCTGTTTAAAATGATCTGAAACAACACAATTCTTGTCATTTCTTTAGCCAGTTTATTTGTTTTATGTTCAATCCACTTAAATTAGTAAACCATTAAGTTAACTTAAACATTTTGTGTTGAGGCTACATGAAGGAATTGTGTTGGTCCGACTACCTGGTTAGGGGATTTGTTGTTCCCAGCATGCTTTGCATGGGATTGAATTGAGAGAGGGAAATGTTGCCAATAAAAGTAATCTTGGGTGTTTCAAGTTAATAGAAAGACTTGATAGAGTTTAATCATCACTTTAGTTTGAAGAGGAGAGTTTCATGTAATGCTTTGAGTTTTGAAAGTACCACCTTGTAGAAAATTTGAGATTACCTCTGAGCAATAACTGTCCTAAAATTAGTTCTGAGATCAGTCTCAATCAACTGTATATGTAACACATGAAATATGCTTAAAATAGTGCTGCTTTTAGTTTATTTAGGATAACTTTAAATACAACTTCAAAACTTCAAAATGTACGACTCGTAATAGACATGATAATATAAAACGTTTGAGATTAAGTTAAATAAAAATACAAATGTATTTAAACTTTTATTTGATAAAATCATGTTAGTGGGTGACGCAGTGGTGCAATAGCTGTCGCCTCACAGCAAGAAGGTCGCTGGTTCGAGCCTCGGCTGGGTCAGTTGGCATTTCTGTGTGGAGTTTGCATGTTCTCCCTGCGTTCGCATGGGTTTACTCCGGGTGCTCCGGTTTCCCCCACAGTGCAAAGACATGCGCTATAGGTGAATTGGGTAGGTTAAATTGTCCGTAGTGTATGAGTGTGTGTGTGTGTATAGATGTGAAACATATGCTGGATAAGTTGGCTGTCCATTCTGCTGTGGCGACCCCAGATGAATAAATGGACTGAGCTGAATAGAAAATGAATGAATGAAAATCATGTTGGAGCAACTCAGTTGCATTTAATTGTGTAAATATTGTTTTTTTAGTTGGTGCTAAACCAATTTACTTGGATGAAAATTCTGCCCTCAATTAAATCGAGCTCATCTAATGAGTTAATTTTTTGAGTGTACACTTACACTCTTAAATTCTGTTTTGTTTGTTTACTTATTATTAACAATGTTGTGAGATTGAAATATTCATTTATTTCCTTTTTTCATTCATAATGTGACATTAACTTATTAATTTGGAAATTCCTGTTTTTCTCAATGATGAGATTATCATAATACAGTATTTTCATTCATCAGTAAGAAGAGCCCATGTAAGAGCCTTTTTTATAATGTGACATTCATTTATTAATTTAGAAATTTGGAAGATTTTTTTTTCTCAATGATGAGATTATTGTAATACAGCAATTTAATAGTCATTTAAAAGAGCTTTTAATAGACAATACTTACTGCTAGGGCTGTGCGATTCAGGGAAATTATTATTTTTTTATTAATTTTTTTAACAGATATCACGATTTCAATTTGATTTGCGATTTGTTGTGTACTCAAGCTTCAGCTCAATATTCTGTATTGTAGCTTCGTACTGCTAGAATGCAGCGAGTGTTAGTTAAAAAAGGAACTGAAAAGATGAACTCACTTAAACATTTATTTAAATTTGTTTTTAAATATTCAGAAATTAAACAGTTGTGTTTCTCTAGAGCAAACAGTAAATACATATAAAATGACCTTACCTTTCTGTAAACAAGTTGAACTCAAATTAGGTAGATAGTGTAACTCATTTTATAAACAAAAAAAAAATAATAATAAAAATACAGAACACTCAGCAAACTAACATGGCTGAAACAACTCTGAAATTGTACTTTGCTGTTGCTTGCTACAGATCGAGTGTCACTGGCAATACTTTCAGTTGACTTTTTAACAAGACATTCCTCATATCACCTCAAAGCCTGTGGTACTTTTTTATGTGCTGAATTGTTATGTTGCAGCAATTCTACGACAGCTCCTACAAATCACCTGTTTTTGTTTGGTGTCTGTGACTTTGAAACCAAAATATTTCAATATTCCCAATTTCCTGTTTTTCTTTGATATTCGTCTATTAATGCTTCTGAAGCAACAAATGCTATATCATCCCACTTGTCTGCTCTTTTTGTCGCTTTTGTTTGTTTGTTTTTTAATTGTGGGCGTTCCGCATAGTTCGGTTGAGCAATTCTGATTGGGCAGAACGAAAGTGTGCTCACTCAATTGACTATCACACACACATTTGCTCTGGGCAGGGGAAGTTAAATAATATATGAAGAGTTTAGGTGCAAAACCCTAAATGCCATCTGACATTTTCCTTTGAAATAAGCATTTTTATCAGGTTCTTGTGTGTATGTTCTGTAATATCACTTTTATGGCAAAGAAGTCCTTTTCCTGATCTTTAAAGTGAAAAATATCAGCATAAACAAAGGAGGCTGAGAAAATGTACATTTTTGATGGAAATTTTAGACAGCACTTAGAGGCTTTTGCATCTGAACTCTTCATATGTAGTTCATATCGCAGCCTCTTGTGATTAGGTAATTACAACATTTCAAATCGCGATTACGATTTTATTTCAATCATCGCACAGCCCTACTTACTGCTTATTTTCTACAAGTGCACTTCAAGTGTTTTCATCTTATTTTATGAGCAATTCTGGAGATTTCTGGGACTGCACATGGTAAAGGGGGAACAATATGGTCAATGTCCTTTGTCATATATTTTTCATTCTCATTTTTTATTTGTGAGAATATGCATTTAAAAATTTTTTATTTTAGATTTGATGCATTTTATTTTATTGTAATAAGGTATCTTCTTCCAAATTAAACACTTATTAAAATTAAATATAATAACAGATTAATACAAATATTATTCAAAAACTATTTGACATACAGGGGAATTTCAATTTACTTATTTAAAAAAAAAAGCTGAATCAACACAGTTCTTGAGATTTCATTGGGACAACTTAATTTGTTTATGTTCAATCTACATAAATTTGTTAAAATTGTTAAGTTAACCTTATAATTTGTGTTGGGACAACATGAATAAATTGTGTGGAACCCTGCAGTTTTTACAGTGTAGCTAAAATGCATTAAAAACTTGTGTTTACCATACACATCTATCAAGATATATATATAAAGATTTTTTTTCAACAAATGTATCTCATTGTAATAATGAGCTGTAAAGCAGGCAGTGGGCGCAGAGTGTGATGTTGACTGGCCGCATTGATTGGCTGCTGGCTCGGTGTGTGTGTGCAGCGTAGTAAATGCGGCTCTTGATGACACACCGCCCTCTTCTCTCCTGCAGCTCGCGGCCGTATGAAGCGGCCCTGCCTGCTTGGAAACACATTATTCCCCCCTGCGAGCCGTCCGGCGGAACATGTGCATTCCCATAGTCTCTTGAAATCGTCGTTGTCGCACGTCTATGTGATTCTCAGTTGTGCTCATGAGCCTGCTAGGTGGCTACAAGAAAAAGAGCAGTTACGATGGCTACGAATCTTTGCAGCTGGTCGATAGCAGCGGAGACTTCAGTACCGGGGGACGAAGCGGCGGCGGAGGCGGAGGCGGTTTGACGGCGGTGACCCTCGGCAGCGTCAAGACAGGCCCCGCGCGACAGGACGACTACAGCACCATGGACAGCTCAGGTAGGAAAACCCGCTCCAGGCCGCCGACGCGCATTAAACCGCCGGTGCTTTATTTGTTGTGAAGTCGTGCTGGTTTCCTGAAGGATTCCTTGGTGGAGTGGATTAATGATAGTCGTCGATATCCGCCGGAAGCATGTGTTTGTGTCGTTTGTTCGTGTGCTGCTGCTGCTGCTGTGTCATGACAATTGATCAAAGTCATAGCTGGCGTGCAGGAGGCTAAACTGACAGATGAATTATTGAAATGAGAGGATTGCTAAGTAGATATATGTGTGTGTGGGATGTAGGCCATGTATGCTGATGGCTCGTGCATTGATGTGCTATGCAGTACCATCCTTAAGGGATTGTTTTAGCATGCATTGTGTTTTGTTGGGTGCAGATTCATATGGATTAGGATTGGATCAGCTAAAGCAGAGTTTGGTTTGTCTCTAGGTATTAGGTTTGATGCTGTTTTACTGCAGTGATCTTGGATGAACAGTGGCCTTCAGGTGTGAGACATGAGTAAGAGCTAGTGTAAGGGCTTTTTTTCGTCCCAGTGGTGTCTGCTTCGTTCTGGTGTTTTTTTAGATGTGTGAGAGAAAGTTAATATGGCATAATCAGAAAAGTAAAGAATTGTAGTTTGATATATTTTCCTAAACAGCTCTATATATCATTAAATTAGATAACACAGACATTACACTGTCTTGAAGAAAGTTTACTGCCTAATATATCAGTTTATGAAACGTATAAAATATTTTATTAATGATTAATGGTTTTGGTAATGTTAGTGTTTATTATTTAATAACATTAACTAATATTAACCAATGGAGCTTACTGCAAAGTGTTATCAGTCTAGCCTTTGTTAAAACTGCATACATAAAGTTATAAGCCAAAGAAAGAAAACATACTCTTTACAATATAACTGAACATTAAAATTATATTAAAGTTAAAGGATTGTGGTTTGATTTACAATTACAGTCAGAATTATTAGCCCATCTTTTTTTTTTTTTTTTTGGATTCTTTAAAATATTTCTAAATTGGCTAAATTGTCCATAGTGTATGAGTGTGTATGGATGTTTCACAGAGATGGGTTGCGGCTGGAAGGGCATACGCTGTGTAAAATGTGTGCTGGATAAGTTGATAGTTCGTTCCGCCGTGGCGACCACGGATTAAAAAAGGAACTAAGCCAAAAAGACAATGAATGAATGTCTGATAATATTTTTTCTTCTGAAAAAAAGTCTTCTTAGTTTTAATTCAGCTAGAAAAAAAACAGTTATACATTTTTTAAAAAGCATTTTAGGGACAAAATTATTAGCCCCTTTAACCTATTTTATTATTCGATTTTCTACAGAACAAATTGTCGTTGTACAATAACTTGAGTTTGCATGTTCTCCCTGCCTTCGTGTGGGTTTACTCCGGGTGCTCCGGTTTCCCCCACAGTGAATTGGGTAGGCTAAATTGTCCTAGTGTGTGTGTGAATGTTTGTGTGGATGTTTCCCAGAGATGTGTTGCGGCTGGAAGGGCATCCGCTGCGTAAAAACTTGCTGGATAAGTTGGCGGTTCATTCCGCTGTGGCGACCCTGGATAAATAAAGGGACTAAGCCAACAAGAAAATGAATGAATGAATAACTTGCCTAATTACTCTAATCTGCCTAGCTAGCCTAATTAACCTATTAACCAACTTAACCAAACTATTAACCAAGTTAAGCCTTTAAATATAGAAGTGTCCAGAAAAAAATCTAGCCAAATATTATTTATGGTCATCATGGCAATCATTATGGTCATCATGGCAAAAATAAATCTGTTATTAGAGATTAGTTATTAAACCTATTATGTTTAGAAATGTGTTGAAAAAAATCTTCTGTCTGTTAAAAAATAGAAATTAAGGAGAAAAAAAATACTGGTGGGCTTATAATTCAGGCGCGCTAACAATTTTGACTTCAACTGTATTTTCCTAAACAGCTCTATATATCATTAAATTAGATAACACAAACATTCCAGTATATACCCTGTATCTTGAAGAATGATTACTACCTAATATATTAGTTTATGGAACATATGAAAGATTTTATTAATGATAAATGGTTTTATTAATGTTAGTGTTTATTATTTTAATAAACATTAGCTAACATGAACATAACTTAGTGTGGTGTTGCATGATACCAAAATTTTGACTTTGATACCATACCTAAATTAAATATCACGATATCGATACTACACAATAATATTTATCTTTCAGAATTTTATTTATTAACAAACACAGTATTTGCTGTCAGCTGAAACAGAGTAGAACTTTTTTTAAAAAGTTAAAAAAATATAGCAATAAAAAATGTATACAGATTACTTAAATTTTTGTCATGTGGTGTGACTGTCCGAGTTAAGTGTGACTATAATGATATGACAATATATCTCAGGATATCACATTTGGTATGACATGATTTGCACACAATCTCATAAAAAATGGATCTGCACAAAATCAAAATGTTCATTCATTCATTCATTCATTCATTCATTTTCTTTTCGGCTTAGACCCTTTGTTAGACCCTTTGGGGTCGCGATACCGGATTGAACTGCCAGCTTATCCAGCATATGTTTTACGCAGCGGATGCCCTTCCACCTGCAATCTATCTCTATAGGAAACACCCATACACACTCATTCACACACATACACTACGGACAATTTAGCCTCCCTAATTCACCTATAGCGCATGTCTTTGGACTTGTGGGGGAAACCGAAGCGCCCGGAGGAAAACCATACAAACATGGGGAGAACATGCAAACTCCACACATAAATACCAACTGACCCAGCCGAGGCTCGAACCAGTGACCTTCTTGCTGTGAGGCGATTGTGCTACACACCGGGCCACCGTGTCGCCCCATGTTAAAACTTATTGTAAAGATTTAGGATGAATTCGCCATAAGAGTATCCAGTTTCATTTTATCTCGAATAAAATTTGTGTCACAGCATATGACAACTTTCTACAATTTAAGTCCGTCAAAAGTTTGCTTGCAGTGTCATAAATACAAAAATAAAATTTGAAATTAATTAATAGGTTATTAAAATGGAATACTTATAGTTATAAGCCAAATAATTAATACTAGGCAATGAATCATAACGTGTGTCATAAAACACTCTTCACAATATTACTAAACAGTAAAATTACAGTAAAACATTAATGTTGCAGAGGGTGATTTTTAATAAAACCCTTTACTCTTTAACTGTTTAAAAAATGTTTAATAAAAACATGTGATTGTTTATGCTAGAAAAGGCTTTTTTTCTATTGTTTAAGACAATACCTTTATATTTACAAAAATATTTGACTGTTTTACTGTATATTGTCCATTCTTTTGTTAAATGCAACATTAATGTACAGCAGAACTCCTCACAGATCTACTGAAAACATGGCAAAAAAAAAACATCCAACATAAACAAATATGACCACTTGCGAGCACTTTCCATATTGTTGCAGGCAATTAGTCACCTTTATAAATTGTTAATATTTTTCATAATGTTACCGTAAAGCTTGTCACAGTATAGCTGAAAGCATAACTATAAGAAACAGCTTTTTAAATGTAAAATCTAATAAAACAAACAAATACAATTCCCTTTTCCTGTCCAACTTATTATAAAAAACAGAAGTAATTGTGTAAAATTATTAGTTAACATCTTAATAATTATGAAAATAAAAATCAGCATGATACGAGATGCCAGTTCTAAAAGGTCACTTACATTGAACTACAGCAACATTGTTTTAAGACAAAACCAGCTGGGTTGTTGATTAAGTGATTAAAAAACAAAAACACCGTCCTTCATCAAATCTGTTCATTTAGTTTCATAATCATTCTCTCTGTGTTTCATGTGGGAATTGTCAATGTTCGACATTTGCTGCTTGAAAATACAGTAGCTTTGTATGAGGCTGTAGGTAATGTATAATTGAAAAGCCACTCGGGTCTTGTAACCAGACACACAAGCACACAATTACACACACAAACACACACAGGGGGTTGAACGTCACTGAACCTCTTTCTGTGACTCAATTCAGCTGAATTAAAGCAACAAAAGAAAGGATGATTGTGATAGAGACAGAGAATAAAAGGAGAAATGTGTTAGGGAGCCATTCTTTTCTATTACACATGCACTGATGAGATCTTCGTGGTCAAGACGACACACACACATACACACATACAAGTGCTTTCGGGCTCTTTGTGTGATTAAAGGGACATTGGTAGGAGTTCAGAGACTCTGTGTTGGACTTTGAAGTTTGCTCATTTAGAAAGAGCTCCTCTGTATCTTAATGGGAAGTCTGACAGGAAGCCTACTCTCTGGCCTGGAGGACCACTGTTAAAGCAGTGCCAGGCCACCCTCATCTGCTAGATTTAATAGAAAGTTGGAAGCAGAAAAGTGCTGACAATTGTAATCTGGAAGTTGTTTACAGGTCAAAATATTTGAACAAAGATTTATTTCTAAAAGTAAATTTGTTCATTAATAAGGAAAAGTAAACTTGCCAGTGTATAAATACTTTCGGGCTTGACTGTATAGGTGAATATTGTATTTATTTACAATTAATTAGTAATAAATGAATAGTTTGAACAAATTGGCTGGAATGATTCAGTGACTCATAAGCATTCCTTTGTTACTTGTACCGTTGAAGTCAGAATTAATAGCCCCCCGTTTATTTTTTCCCCAATTTCTATTTTTTCAACACATAAAAGATTAAAGATAATAGTTTTAAAAACTCATTTCTAACAACTGATTTATTTTATCTTTGCCATGATGACAGTAAATAATATTTGACTAGATATTTTTCAAGACACTTCTATACAGCTTAAAGTGACATTTAAAGGTTTAACTAGGTTAATTAGGTTAACTAGGCAGGTTTGGGTAATTAGGCAAGTTATCGTAAAACAATGGTTTGTTCTGTAGACTATCGGGAAAAAAAATTAGCTTAAAGGGGCTAATAATTTTGTCCCTAAAATGGCTTTAAAAAAATTTAAACTGCATTTATTTATTAGGCGAAATAAAA